TTTTTACCTCGATAATAGGTTGTTCATTGAAGGTAGGGCTACACCTTCGGCAAATCCAAAGAAAGCTCGGACGGCAAAGAGGCTTGCTGTCGAGTGATTTGCCGCGAGTGGAGTGAAAAGGGTTGCTAGGGACCACAGAGTCGCACCCCACGCAATGACCCGTTTCCCTCCGTATTTATCCACCAAAGCTCCTCCAATAACTGAGGAACACATGTATCCCCATAGAAAGGATGACTATGCAAATAGTAAAACGAGCAATCAGCAAAAGTACGTGTTTAACAATCTATATTATCACACGATTTACACGGTTTACAATACCTCCGATTAAAAAGTATTAAAATATATCATCTCTAGTTAATAGAATTTGGAATCATGTTCTTGTGGATAACTTGTTTCATCCCTGTTTCGGAAGAAAATGAATCCTTAGCTACAGATTAAGTGTGACAGAAGATTTTGTGATAAAGATTTTAACTTTGTCACACACCAAACTTTTTGCATATATAAAAAGGTCACATTCATTCACTTAAAGAACAAAAGAGCAAGGGAAGCTCTTTCCCACAAGTGGGGACAATGGTTTGAGTGCATTGTGATCAAAGAACACTAGTGACCTTTAGGTGTTATGTACTTGAAAGTCTTTCAAGAACCAAGCAATATCATGAAATCCAGACGAGGGTTTAAGAAGTAAAAAGCCATTCTTAACTCGAACATAAGTTCAAATTATTATTTCATATCATCGATTTTGTAAGAAACTGGGGGAAAAGGAAAGCCCATATGAAGCCCAAGTGGGGTTCCATCCCAAAACCAATTGGTGGAAGGAGGAGTAGCCCATTAGACTTATAAGGTGGGTCTATTTTCTATGTGTGAACGATGTGGGACAACTCACAAGTGATATTCTAACAGATTTTCTTCGATAGCTTTTCGGATAAAGTAGCTTCAGAAACAGGGGTGGTGACTTCTTTCGAAAAGAAATTGATTTGAACTCATTTACACTCTTAAGTCTTAATAAACAATATTTCCATGTCTTCAAATCACAGTTATCTGTAATAGCAAGAAACGTGTTTAAGAATCGACTAATCTCGCTTAGAAAATGGATTAGAACATAATATCATCCACACAAGTCTCAAAAATAAAGGGCTAGCTAGCTGAGGAAAGCCGGTAAGTCTATGCTGGTGTTAGGTTGATATTAAAGGCACATTTTCATTAGACATGCGAGCTAAAGAACACCTTAGCAATCAATGAAATGAGGGCCACCAAACCTTTTCTTCTTGCCACTCAGTTAGGCCCCAAAAGATTAAAATTTATAAGTCTATTGAAGGGTCCTACTAAAAACACCTTCTGCCATCTATTAGATTTCCTTTGTATGATCCAAAAAAAGTAAAACAAACAGCTCAAGCAATTTAAAAATGTTTTCTGATATTGGTACAGAAGATACTCCATTATTGTTTGTCGGTCGATTCAAGATTTATCTCATTGAAACTGAAAATGAAACAAAAAAAAAAATATATATATATATATATATATATGTATTCTCAAAAAAGTATAATTCATTTTATCTCACTTTTTTCTCTATAATAAAAAATCAATCATTAATATAAATTTTTTTATTAAAAAACATTATTCATCCACCCACACATATTTCTAATTACATTTTGAATTTTATTGTTTTTTTATATCATACATTACATTTTGAATTTTAGACAAGATTTTATAATTTTTATTCTCCATCTCATCTTTTTCAGACAAGATGAAATTTTTCAGAAAAATATCATATTCAGTTGAGAACTAAGGTCAAAACTTTGTAAACACTCAAACTTTATGAATTTTTTTGTAGCAAACAAAATATATATATATATATATATATATATATATATATATA